CTGAACCCGAAACAAACTGGAGTGTCACATTCTGAGCCAGTGTATCCCTCCTTACAAGATTGACAACTTTCTCCCTCCCAATTTCCAAAGCATGAACAATTGTTTGGAGATTTGCAAGAACCATGTCCAGAACAAACGTTTGATTCATTAGCAAATACGTTGAAACAAATAGGGATATTACACAATTCTCCAACAAAACCATCGGCACAGGTTCTGCAATTAGAACCAGTAAATCCACTCTTACATTGGGTGCATTCTTCGGCCTCCCAATTTCCGTAACAGTAGCAAACGTTTGGTTGCAGACAAACTCCGTGAGTATTACACACACCACTCTCATTGCTCAATTTTCCAAAACACATTGGCCTATCACAAATTTCACCTCCATAATTTTCCTTACAGACGCAAGTTCCATTCACACATTCACCCTTTTCACATCCCTTAGTACAATTCTTAGAAATGTTATCGATGATTGGATCGGTTTGATTGTGATCAATGCTACTACCTCCTGCAATGGAAAATCTATAAATGTATGTATAACCACTTGCATAGAGATAATCATTAGTGGAATCAACATGGAGACCAATGTAGTAATCTTTTGGAATGTTGAGCACAGAAAGAGTACCATTGGAGAATAGAACCTTAATGGTTTGGTCACCTCCAGAAGTAAAGTACATGTGACCATGGGTTGTGTGGAATGAGATTTCTCTTGGATCGTTAATTGAAGCAAGAACTGTTTCAATTGCTCCATTCTTTGTTAGCTTTCTTATTCTACCATTGAGACTGTCAGCAAAAAAGAGAGTTTGTGTGGATTCCTGATAATATAATCCAAATGGACCATTCAATAGAGCAGTCTTTGCATTTAAACTATCAGCAAAACCAGAAATCTTTGCTTGTCCAGCAATAGTTGTAATGGCACCAGAGGAGCTCATCTTTCTAATTACATTGTTTGCATAATCTGAAATGTACATGTCCCCTACGTTGTTAATGAGAACGCTTACTGCCAAATTGAATGAAGCTCTCAATGGTTGAGTATTGTCCGAATATCCCAAATATCCATTTCCAGCAACTGAGCTAATCTTTTTGGAAGAGTCTAACTTTCTAATCTTACTATTGTAAGTATCGGCAATGTAGATAGAACCATCAGTATGTAAGTGAATTCCATATGGATAGTTCAAAGAAGCACTCGTTCCCAATCCACCATCCCCATAAAAACGCTCACCTCCATTACCAGCAATGGTTGAGAGAACTCCTGTTGAGAGGGTGATTTTTCTCACGAGAGAGTTGTAGGTATCTGCAAAATAGAGCTCTCCATTCTTTACATAGAGTGATCGAGGATGATTCACACTTGTTGTGGTTGCTAACACATTGTCAGAAATAACGATTGGATCGTAACCTTGTTCGTATTGACCAGCCAAGTAGATAATCTTGCTGCTATTGGTCTTGAAAAGGGCAATTCTAGGATAATTTTTCTCTGCGAAAATAAAATTACCATTCTCAAGTTTGTGGAAGCTTTTAACACCGTATGGAGCAGAAAAGACTTTGGCAATTGTTCCAGTA